TCAATAGGCTGTTGTCAATATTATTATTGTTATTTCACTAATCCGAATCTTTAGGAAACATGAATTGTATGTATGTAGTTTGAATTTTAATTGCTTTTTAAATCAGAAAACTATTAATGGCATTACCGATATCGAGAACAGTGGCATTACAATGTAATGGCCTCAAGCCGCTGGGGGGAGGGGGTCTGTTGTTTTCCTACGACGCAAACCTCACGAATAAGTTCTATTATCACGAGAATTTGAAATTAAGTCAGCGCATGTGTCGATGGCCATGAATGCACGTACAGAAGGACGATTACTCTGTATAATAATGAGAATAATTAAAAACAATTTTGGGGGTGGGTAACGTACCACTCTACTCTATCCTCTACTCCATAGGATTAATTGTAACAACTGGCGATTCAATTATTCTTATCTCGCATATACTACCTGTACACTAATGGATTACTATATAACGAACGCGTATTGACGACATCGACACAGAAACTTCAATTGGGTGTGCCAATATTGTTTTCATTGGAATTTAAAGAAAAAACCTGGATGTCATCATGAGTGATTAATGTTAAAATAACACACGTTTATTTTTTTGTAGAATGGCAGGCAATATATAATGTATAATTAGTCCTAATAACAGTTATCCAGAGCCTCGTTAGATAGAGACACCCACTAAAAGGGCTCGCACAACTTGACCAATAATCGAAACATATATTGGTTCGAATACATTTCAACTCAAAGAATTATATTACCTGTGCAAATAGAACTAATATCAAACCACTCACCTGAAAAAAAACCTGGCGACAACGATACGACTGTGTTGTACATTCGTATAAATACTGTAGCTGTACTGCCCTGTAACGAGGAAAAGCAAATTAGATATTCCACTACTGGACCAAATTTTGATCACAAGATCAGTTCCGGATGATCCCGATAAACGTGCACTCCGCAGCCATACTATGGATATGGCGTATCACGTTGTGATCTTGAACGTCACTAGATTGTGTGATGATGTCACCAATTCATTCTCGTCTCGTTCATGTACACCCATCGTATGTATACAGCTATATAGAAAAAAACACAAGCGTTAACATGACACAATAATCTAGCATTCGTTCATAATCGAATATTGTCACGAAAAATTGAAACAAAAAATAACCATGTGTTTTAATGAGATATGTGTCAGTCTCACAAAGCCGAATCAGCGAACACATTTAAGCCGATCATACTGATGAGCGTATCAATTCATGCGCACGTTTACCTAAAATGTGTAATCACACTGTATTTCTAATGTCGTGTTCAGTACAAGCTAATCGCATAGAGTAGCTTAGTTGAAGCATCGTACTCTATTCGCGAATATATATTAGAGTCTCGGTGTAATGAGAATTATCGTGTCATATTATAATGATAGTATATTATATTGTTCCGTTATAATATATTGATGACGTACATGACTATGTACTAAAAAGATGTGACATATTCAAATCATACAAGTGACCACTGTTATAATAGTATTATACACTGCATGGGTGACTGCTGTTAGAGCTCAGGTTCGTGATTGAACCTCGTGACCTAGGAGTTAAATATGGATTACATTTGTTTTTACATTTTGTAAAATCGGGTCTCTATCTTTCTATAAACTTTGAATATCATTCTCGCAAATGTACGATGGTTGCATGTTATCCGTTCGGGCGTCTTGTTTGAGCGCCATATTTTCCGGTCCTATTGAACATAATTTGGCTACACGCCTTGATCAGAAATTCTAAAAAAAAAAATAATAAGAAATTATAACGTGGCTTTTATTTTGTGATTTGTACATTTTCAGTTAATTGCTATTATTAGACATAATAATATAAATATAACCGAGTACATATACGTGTGAATTGAAATAATATTCATTCCATCCAGCTTGCGATGCAATCAACAACAACCATATTTTATTACTGATCATTTAAACTTTGACCTTTACAACTGACATATGCCCATATACCACCTGTCACTATTGTGTAATATAATTTGTTATTCATTAACGGTTTGCATTGTTGGCATAATCGCATAGATGAAATGTTTTCAACCAATAATACGAAATTTAGCGGTTTTATGACAATGTTATGTTCAACTGAACTTGAGATTGAGAAAAAACTACGAACCAGGTTATAATACTTTATACCTTGAATTATACTTGTTTACGCTTTACTCTGCCTAGTCCATGTTATACACATTCGCTATGCCAGTAATCGGGCTAATTAGTGTACTTAATTATTTCTGTAATTTTCAAACCAATAATTCTATATACGTCATTTAATTTTTTTTTGTAATGGAAATCACAAGTATGAGTGTTTTTTTTTGTAATACAATTTAATTTTCTAATAATAATTACATTGTTCACATAACAGAAAAAAAACGTCACAGACACGACATACATAACATTACAAAAAAGGTACATGGGATGATCATTCCAACAACGGTGCCAACGCACCCCATTTTAAAACGTACTTTGTTTCGTTCAAGACATTTTTTTCAATAGATTTCTTTTCTTTGACAATCTTTATAAAATAATCAAGAGAATGCGTTACATTTGTAAAACAGCAGACATATAAAACATATTTATCTATTAAAATAAGATGGTTTAATAGTATACATTTTTGGGGGAATCTAAAAAGAATACGTTCACAGCATAGAACTATATTATCACTTCCTGGAATAGCCCCCCGCCCCCACCCCCCTACCCCCACCCACACCCAACAGTTTTGAAATAATTTCCAAAACGAAATTGTTGTTGTACATTCCCAGAAGAGATGTTCAATTATTTACAATATTTACAACAATTGTCCAATCGGATTTCATTTTGGAAAAGATAATTGTTGGTTGCCAAAATTCGATGCAATATTTTGAACTGAAAAATGCGCAGTTTTTCTTCCATTGTGGTAACGTACGCCAATTTCCAGATACATCTCCAATCAATTGCATCACTCACATACACAGTTGCTTTATATTTAGACATGGATTTTGGCGTTTCAAAACGTTTTTTCAACTAATAACTTATAAAAGCTCTTGTTTTACCACAAACAATTGTATCATTTATTTTTTTAGTTAAATTCGCATTGATATTTCAAGCAACTAATTTGGACAACCAATAAACTTGAATTGCGTGCAGAATACCATCAAAAATTACAAAATCTGTCTTAATTGTGTATTTCAGTCTATAAATTGTTCATATGACATAAAATTACCATCTGTATTTAATAAATGTTGTATGCACTTCACCCCATTATTTAGCCAGTGTAAATAACACACTGGTTTTCCACCAATTAAAATGTATCTATTATTCCTCAGTATTTCTGATTTGTTCTCATTTGAATTACTGGGTGGGCCATGACAGAATAGTTCATACCAAAAACTTAAAATAAAAAGAATAAAAAGCTGGTAAAAAAGGCATTTTGGCAGGATCATAATTACAGCTCAATAAAAATTCCAAGCCCCCATATTTACTAAAATAGCCCCTTGGAATAACTCCCCATGATGCATTTGTTTCCATTATCCTTATAGCCTAAACTAATTTGAATGCTTTAACAACTCCAAATCAGTCATGCGCAAACCCCCATATTCAATATCCCCAATTAAAGTGTTGTTTTTAATATGGTGTCTTTTCCCGTTCCACAGAAATTCAAATAACCTAGCCCGGGTTTCGGACACATAATAGAAATGGAGTCCATTACAAAGAACAGATTACTAGTAGTAGCCCCAAAAACCTTTGAAAGTGCAATTGTCAAGTCACGTGACTTCCATATGCTAAGTTTTATATTCATTTTTTCAAAGCTCTAAATTGTTCTTAACATCATGACATGTATAAATTCCCAAGTAACGGATTGTTTTTTTGGATGGGGGCTATTACATCCATGTTTTGCCAATTATGTTTAAGTTTATCCAACACAAGTATTTCTGTTTTACCCATATTAATTTCTAGACCAGAAACTGAAACTATTTTAGAATGGATAGAGCAGTGCAAACAGAATTTTGGTTTCTCATGCAAAGGGTTGTGTCATCCGCAAAGCCAGATATTGTTTGTTCATGCTCATATGGCAACATAATACCATCTATTTGGTCACTTGATCGAATGACAATAGCCAACAACTCTATGGCAATTACAAAGAGAGCTGTGGACAACGGACAACCCTGTCGGATGCCCCGATATAACTTGAACCAACCTGATGAATGCCCATTATTAAGTACACAGCTTTCAAT